GAGAAAATGTGAATAGTGAGAGAAAACAGCTGAAGCTCATATGTATTCGGTATGAATAGATTTCGGAGCAACCAGTCGATTTTGAATAAGATCTGTATTCACATTAGGTCGCAACAAGTGATGAATGACTGAGGGTGATGATGAGACTGTGGAAGCTGCAGTCCAGTCTGGGCGAGGATACCTTTAGGAAAGTAAGGCTGAGTGAAATTCAATGGAATCATGAGACCTACTCAACTGATTGCTGGTAAATTTAACTATCAATCCTTCATCAGTTTATACAACCTAGGATAGGTAGAGTTGATAGCTGAATTTTATCTACCCTTTGGTGCATCGTGGGCGACGTAACCGCCGGTGCAAATGGTTCGGCTTTGAAGGGGTCATGAGATACAACAGCAGTTTCGAGGAGCGATTGGGCTCCGGATGAGACGCGAAATCGAGTGAATATTTGACTGGAACAAGATGATGAATCGAAGGATGGACGAATAATGGGCGAACATGCCGAGCTGACGCTACGAGTGAAGAGGAAAACGAGATCATGATCTAGCGAGATTATGGGCAAGACAGTGTGGACACCGGTCAAGAGAGCACGTTTGCAGCGGATGCATTTGGAAGTGAGTGTGACTGAGATAGCGAAGGTGTTCAGGGCAGAAAGGCCAAATGTAAAAAAGGTGGGCTTTAAGGTGCTAGTGGCTCGAGAGCAGTGTTGACTTCCTAACTGGGGCAAAGAGAGCGTGAAAAATATAGACTACGCTGGCAGCTGCGAAGCTTTTAAGTGGAGGTGTCAATAGGAATGATGATGGTGGTGCAGATGGTGCTGGTAGTAGAGAAATGGATGTTGGATTTCGGTAGCCGTGGTAGTGCTGATGCTGGAAGTGATGGCGGTAGTGCTGGTAAAACTGGCAGTAGTTGTGCTGGTAGTGCTAGTGATGCTGAAGGTGATTGTGGCGAAGGCAATAGTAGTGCAAGTGCTGGTGCTGCTGGTGATCTTGCTTGCGGTTCTGGTCGGCTGTATTAACGTTTCTGTTGCTAATGCTTATGTTAACGATGGTATTGGTGTTTGTTGTGGTACGTTTGCAA